GCCATTTGGGTCGGCTGAAATGTCTCTGGTGAACCTCAGAGCAATAACAAAAAATACAAAACAAACACCTTCAGTGTGGCACTGGAGGGTCCTTCCTAGACCTTCTTAGCACTCTGGCCACCCACCTGTCTCTTTAAGTGTGCCATCATGTCACTCCCTGACTGCTGCAGCTGCAATCTTTTGTTGTGGCTTGCAGTCCAGCCCTCTCTCTGCCTTGTCTGGGGACAGCTCTCCTGTGTCCCTGGAACTTGGTGCAGTCTAACTCATCACCTCCTGTGGAGCTTTCTGGCTGGTTCTGGGCCTACTTTGAGAATGCCCAAATTGGCCATTCCTCTGCCTGTTCCCACTCAGTATTTAGTCTATCTGTATCAGGGCTCAGCACTGCTGGCTGTGCAGAGCAGATACTGGGACGTGGCAGGGAACAAGAGAATGTATTTTCTTCCTGGCACAGGTGAATGAGCTGCCATCCTCCACCGTCCACAGGGAAAAGTTGGAGGCGGAGGAGAATGACCAAAGGAGACCATCAACAGCACCCAGAGAGACAAAGAGGACTCGAAGGAAGCAGACGGGTACCTCTTTGCACAACAAGTATGACGGCTATGAAGAGCTGCTCACGGTCAAGCCTGATCCGGCCTTTCTGGAGCCAAAGGGTATGGGGTTAAAGTGCTAGGATTAAAGGCATGTGCCACCAGGCCCTGCCCTCTATGTCACGAGATTCTTAGGGTATGGCAGCATCACTGTCCTTTGCTGAACTGTCATTGCTTTGGGGGTCGTGGCTTTCTTCAAAGACTGGCTGGATTAGCCCAATAACTCTGGGTGAGAAATTTACTTGCAGAAAAGGGCGAATAACCAAACAAAGCCAGGTTCCTGAGTTCTCACCAGTCTGTTAAGGACCAGACCATTTCAGATCCAACGCCCCTGGTTTGGGGCAGCAGAGGCAGTGCCATCTCAGCTTTGATTCCATTTCATCTGATGTGCCCCAGTATCTGTGCCTCCAATTAGCCTGCCAGGGAGTGGGTCTCCTGAGAGTCAGCCCCTTCCATGTGATCACCGAGTTTAAGGGATCACTGTGGGGCCAAAAGTCTCTCCACATTAGACTCTGAGCTCATGGAGACATTTCACTCAATAAATGGTGGAGGTCTAGGCAAGGGAGCAGATGAGGGAGCCCTGGGAATGCGTTCTTAGGTGTTGAAGCCCTTTTCCAAACGCTGAGCAGGGTCAGAGATGACACCTGTTGCTGCATCCTCTAGGCATCCAGAAGAACACACAGGCCCTGCATCGCATGCTGAAGCAGCCGCTCATCTGCCGCTCCTCCAAGCCCAGGCTGGACACTTTCCAGAAACCCTACATTCCCAAGGAGAAGAGGGTAAGCACTTCAGCCACTGGCTGTTCCAGAGCTCTGAGGACTCGGCGGGAACAGACCCAGCTGTTACTTTTTGGGACCCTGAGGCCTGTTTCCCAGCGCTCCCTACTGCCCCCTGCCTGTCACTTTGTATGAAGTAACAAACCTTTTCCTTGCTTTGTGCCAGGCTGGGAGGGTACCGATTCCAGCTCCACGAAAGACCCGAGCGCAGCTGCTGGATGATATCCTCATTCGCATGCGGGATCCTCGGAATGTTACTGAGGCTCCACTGGGTATGGTGCCAGCTGTCCCACCGGGCTGATGTCTAGCAGGGTGGGCGGGTGGGAAGCTAGAAGGAAGCATGAGGAGCAGGGAGGGCTGTGGGAAGTAGGAATCTCTGAGCATCTATCTGCAGTGTGCTGGAGCATGCAAGCAGGAGAGTTCCACGTCATCAGCACCTTCGGGTCTAGAACTAAGGCATGACCTCCTACTGTCGGGGCTGGACTGCTTCTACACACCAAGATACTTTCTGCATCTCTGGGCCAGGGAAACCGGGCGAACCTGGCGCTGTCCTTTCTCGTCCCTGTAGGCGCTGTGTTGCAGCGGCGTGCACAGCAGCGCCTAGTGAACCAGAAGCAATACCGGGAGGCCAAGCGGCTGCTCAAGGAGTTCCGTGCACGCTACCGGCAGCTGGTACGCAGCTCGCTGCGGACTGTGTTCGCTGCCAGCCCGCCGCCCAGGCCGCCCACCCGCCGTGCGCTGAGCGCCGGCCAGCCCAAGTTGGGCCGCTTCCTCGAGTTCATGGACGAGTTCTGCCAGGAGCCCGCAGCCAGCGACTCGAAAGAGTAGAGCTGCGCACCGCCTTCCCCAAGGGCTCTGTGCCCTGGACTGTTCCCATCCCTGAACAGAGGGGGCTTGGGCTCCATCTCGCTCCGTGGTCAGCATGGGGAGCACAGCAGGACCTTGCCTCCGAGCCCAGCCAGGCCGCACCTGGTGGCTGGCCCAGCAGCAATAAAGAGTGGTGTAGAGCAATACAATGGGTGCCAAGTATCCTCCTTGGAGGTCAGGCCAGAGCCATAGTAGCAGTGTTACTCAAGAAAAATCTCTGTTGATTCCTGCATCCCAAGAGGGCCGTGAGAACCCCACCTGAGTCATTAAGGACAGCTTCCGTAAGTGCTGAGACAGAAGTAGCCTAGAAAGCTTAGAAATGGCAGCAAGTTGTCAGCAAGAGGCAGGGTAGCAAAACTCGGGGTGTGGGACGGAGTGGGGTGGGGTGTGGGGGGTGTGTGTGTGCGTGTGCGTGTGTGTAGATGCTCAGAGACAGTTTTCCTGTGAGGAAGCCTTTTCCATTGTGAGGGTGAAAGAAGACGGAATGGCTCCTTTTGAAATCATTGCTGGTAGAAGGGAGGGTTCAGTTCCCCAGTGTCCTACACTCAATGACACAGGCTGAAGACAAGAAAGTCGTCTGTAAAGAAACACTCTGGCCAAAGCACACTGGGGCTGCTGCATTCTTGGCGTGTGCCCAGTAGACAGCATCTGCCCCAGGAGGGTCTGGAGAAGTCCACTAGAACTATGCTAGGTGTGACCTAAGAGCGTTCCCCCTGGAGGCAGCTGACTTTCAGTGCTCAGGGCCCAGGAAGCACAAGGCTCCTTGATCCTCAGCAAGACAGACTCCCAAAATTCCAACCATTTGCATAGTATTGAACCCAACTCCACAGACTTATGCAAGTAGCCAGTTAAGAGCCCATACTAAGCTGTGGTCATACCCAGACATGTAATGGACATATAATGGACACAGGTCACCACAGGTGACAAAAATACAGTTATCCCATTCACAGACATCTGAACAGATAAAAGGAACACAGTGACCCACAGCAAAAGCCACATTCAGGGCATTTGTTGACTTGATAGGTTGGACTTTTTGGAGCTCCAAAGCATTCCTTTACCTCTAGGAGAATCCATTCTGACACTGACATTGTCAACCCACCAGGTTCCACTTGTGGAGAAGCTTCTAGACAGCTCCCTTCAGTCAGATGTGTTCATGCCACATATTCTCAAGGATGGACCTACCTCCACCAAAAAAACCAACCTGTTTCAACCTAGCTTCTTGTCTCTCTTTGGCATTAATAGTGTCTCTCTTTGGTCACTACAATGGACTGTGTAGCGTGTCTGCCTAAATTCCTCAGTTCTGACTCTGCTCTTTGTACCCCCATGGCAGCCCTTAATCAGTGTGAGGGCATCCCATAGAGGGTACGCTCATCTGGGCCAAGCACCACCACCTCTCACTTGAACACGCTGGGTACCTCTCCTTGCTAAGTTCCTGATCACTCTGAATTCCTTACTTTGGCTTCCTACCTCCAAAGCTGCTTTCATAGAGAGCAGAGTTCAAGCAGGGACTTTTCCATATATATAATAAAATGTTGCAGCTGAACCCCAAGAAGGAAGCCATTGTGTACTACCCCAACTCTGCTGCTACTCTAGTAACACTTGGTCAAAGGACATGACAGCCCATGTTTTGTTTTTGTTTTGTTTTTTTTCAAACAGGGTCTCATGTAGCCCAAGATGGCCTCCAACTCTGTAGCCAAGGATGACTCTTGATCCTCCTGCCTCTGCATACTCCTAACTTTTAGCTTCAGTTTGTGTCCTCCAACCTTCCCAACTGTCTCTAGTTACCCAAGATGCTGGTGAGCAAATTGGGAGTTAGGCTAGAAGAGAGAACTGGTAGATGGAGATTGCAGATTATGTTCACATCCTGAGTTAGCTCAGAATCCCACAGTACAGTGGTAAAGTGGGAGAAGCCTGGTTGCTGGCCCAACCTACTCCAGTCCAGATAGCAACTGGAACCAGTTTGTCAAGGCCAGTGGTAGAGGTTCTCGCTGTAAGGTTAGCCAAGGCCACAGTGGCAGAATAAGCAACCAGCAGCTTTGGAATCAGAGGGCCCAGCACCTAGACTGAACTGCCAGGGCTGGAGTTCCTATCTGGAAAAGGACACACCCGCTATTCCTAGTTAGAAGGGAGTTAACAGTGTGCAGAACACTAAGGACCAAGTGCCCGACTACGGTTTTCAAGTCTCCAACTGGCAGCATGCTCACTTCAAGCACTTCCCTTGGAGGTCTTGGGCCAGGTGATGTCACAGGTCCCACATCCTGCCTTACCATGCACGACATCGACTCAGTGCTCTTCCAGGCTCACTCTCTGAGTTTAAAAGGAACAGGTTATCATTTGTTCTCTTTTAATGAAAAACTTATGTCAAAGGTATTTTTTGCGACTTTCTAGCAATGGTTCCAAAGAAGGATATTTAAAAAAACAAACACAAAAACAACAACAACAACAAAAAAAACCCAGATTGCTAAGAGTGGCCAGAAGGTGCAGGGACAATGGCATCCTCTAGTCTAGTCTCTGCTCAAACTTGTTGGTGTCTTCAGACAAATAGGAATGGTCACAGGAGATCAGGAAACAGTAATGTCCATTAGAACACATCAAAAGGTGCATTGTTCCCTGTGGAGACCCCCACCCCAGTGCAACCTGTCATCCTGAATGCCCAAGTGAGGCATTCTAACCCACGTACCTCCCAGCCCCGGGAGAGCGTCCAAACACCTGCCTTCAGCTTAGCCCACACTGAGACGCAGCGCTCTAGAGACTGATGAGAAATAGTCTGTTTGCTTTCATGAGTCTGCTTTACTGCATTTTCAACTTGGCCCTTGCCTGGAACAGGCACATACACATTGAAGAATGCACTTTGGTACTGTGTTAGTCATACATCAATCATCCCACTTGATTCCACACCATTCCTTTGTGGTAAAAGCATCCCTGACAGGGCATACCTTGTCCCAAGTCACTCTATCAAAAGGCTCTTTAGGAGTCAAGGGGGTACAAACAGCAGTGGCAGCCCACCAAGATCCAGGGCCCCTTCTCCAATTCTAATGTAAACAGGTTGAGTAAATCACAATCACCAGACCACAAGGAGCTGTAGCAGGTAGCCTAAAGCCAACAGACAACCATTTTCTATTTCTAGGTGGAAAGGTTCCTCTCTTGGCTCTTAGGACAACTATATTTGTACAGTTAAGAGTAAACAGTGTATCAGGTGAAACAAAACAAAACAAACATTAGTTGGCATTTCAGCTAGTTATTTCTTGTCTTGCATAGTCTGTTTGCTTGCTTTGCTGGTGGTTATGCCTGAGCAAACTGGGACCTGCTGGGCTGCACTGTGGCTCAGCTCAGAGGGCACGTAGCAGCTCTGGAGAAACTCGCCGCTGCTGCAGGAATCTGGAACCACGTGGAAGCTGCTCTGGCCCAGCTGTACATGTGAAGGCTGAACCGCCTGTGCCTCATGCAGCAGGAGGGAAGGGCATGAGCAAGTCTAGCCTTAGTGTGTCCTTGTCTAACTCCTTCTGGATCCAAGACTCCAGAAGAGGGAGGGAGGGAGCTCAGAGTCTAGGGTCAGCTCTCATATGGTTTAAGTTCCCACGCCTGGCAACAAACTTAGGAAACAGGAGTGCATTTCCCCCTCAGAACAAATCTGGCCAATACACAGAGCTGTCTGCTCATGGGGCAGGGCACTTTTTCCTCCATCCGGTTTGATGAAAAACAGGTAACCTCTGTGTATCTCCAAGTCTCTTCTACAGAACAATCCTCAGAATGCTACAGTAGATAACAATCTGGGAAATGTGCATTTCTGGGTCATCTTCCAAAAAAAAAAAAAAACAATTCTGTGCAGCAGTCTCATCCTCAAAACCTGCTCCTCAAATCCTACCAAGTTCTAAGAACCGATAACCAGCTCCACTTGTCCTAAAGGCTCAATCTGAAGAGTACTGTATGGCTGGAGAGGAAAGGGCTATGACCCTATGGAGTTTGATTGAAAGAAGCAGCAAAGGCTATAACTAAAATGACAGATATTCCAGCCAAAATCCCACCAATGACTTAAATCACACTATGAGGTTTTCCCTACTAAGTACTCTATGTATTGTGGGTGCATTCAGGGGATACAGGTATATCTTAACTGAAGAAGAAAACATTATAAAGCCTGTCATTTGGATGTCCCCTTCACAAACTGTGTATCTTTCACAATTATCTGGGCCCTAGAGCACACAGTGGGAACCAGAACTGTGGGTCTTCATTTAAAGGTAGGGGCTGGCGTTGGTCGAGATTACACCTCATGATGATGAGCTAAGTACCCTTTCCTAGTGGCTCTCTGCTTCAGTGACAAGCTAGAAAAAAACCCAAGTCACTGCTGGGTCTGCTGAGAAGTCAGCTTGGGATGCATTAGGTCACTCAAGTGAAGAACAGGCTTCTTCAGGGTGATACAGACCTGCCTCATTTCTTGGGATTTGAGCTAAACGCAGCCTCTGAACAGGGGCAACTGTTCTATAATCACTGCAAGAGAAAATCCATTCTTCCTTGGGAAAATTACTTGGGAAATGGAAAAGGCAGAGTTAATCAAACTCAGAAATACTGATAAGGAAAATGTGAGTAACCTGCTGAGCCAGATCTCCTGAACAGGACCACTGAGGAGCACTGCCAGAGACGGAACAGCCTTTCAAAGTTCATGAATACACTCTTGGGTCAAACCTAGCCACGCACACTGCACTGCATGAGGCCCTCCCTCAGCATGAGCAGCTAGTCTATGGTCCAGCACAGGACGGGAGGTCTGAGAACTCAGAAGTGCCTTCTAAATGAGCACAGCCTCCCTCACCAGCCTCCCATTTTAGTCAGTGGCCAGTTTGTAATCAGACAATAACTAATTTAATAGCTATAATTTCTGAGGGGCATTTTACCTTAAAAAAAAAAAAGACATTTATGACCAGTACTTCTTCCATAATCAAAGACTGTTTTTTTTTTTTAAATAAATGAAATCAATTAGGAAAGATTCCTAGACAAGCCTCAGCCAGACTTTTTTGTTTCTGTTTTTAAAGAGGTAACTAAGAGACAGGCCAGAGGCCAGGTGCTGGCAGAGTACTCCCTGACTTGATACCAGCCCATAAGTCCCAGACGACTTCAGACGACTTCTTCAAACAGGTACAAGCAGCCACTCTTGAATGTAACCAGGGTTACCTTCTCTGGAGAAGGGATACCAAGCCCTCTTGAGGGAGATAGCACATCTCTTGAATTTGTCATCAAAAAGACTCACCCTCCTGTCCCTCATAGTTTCTTTTTTAATAAGAAAAAGATGAACAGAACGCACACACTAAGGAGCACAGCAGAGTGGGCAGTGTGCAGCTCACGAGGACTGCAGTGACAGGGAGAACTATCTGTGAATGGTGGCTTCCCCTCTAGCTCACCAGCCTCTCACACCATCCATCCCCTCGTCTGTCTGCTCTGTAGGGGTCCATGACAACAACTGTGGCTGCGATAGACGTCAGTCAAACACCAAGATGGGGATCCTCAGAAATGAAGTGCTCAGGTTTCACTGACTAAGTTTGAGAGCATCTTGCATGCAGATACTTTAGTAGTTTTTCCATTTTCAAGGGTAAGCCATTCCTTCTCAACATAAACTGTTTTGCCTCTATTTCAAGGGCTACTGTTTTCAGCAGGAAATATGGGAAAGAACACTGTCTATAGTACTGGGGTCTCCCTGGGGGGTACACAGGGACAGCCCAGTGTCTGCAACACTCACTCAGCAGCAACACTGCACCTGAGAGCCCACACTTGTCACTATGCACTCTTATCAAGGTAGTCACTCGGGGCAGGGGGATATTTAAAATATATATATCTTTCATCTATTAAAATATTTTATCTTCTTACCAAAACCAAAAATTAATTCCAACTGAAAGTGTTTTTTCTAAGCATTAGTGACATATAAAAGGGTGTCAAGTGGAAAAATAAGTGTCTTTAATGCTACCCAGTAAGACTAGCCTTCCAATAACAATTACTAAGATCATAAAGGAAATACATGAAATGGTAGACAGTTCTAAGTCTCTCTAATGGAATTTCCTGTTGTTTGCAGCCAGGGCAGGCTCCTCCCTGGGGCACCAGCATGCCTTCCAGCAGCCCCAAAAGCCACGCGTCGCCTAAGATGGGAAGTACCGTGGTGTGAGAATAAAGTAATGAGACTACTTCGTGTTTTAAAGACATATGCCCACACTCCAGACTCACACAGGTTCCTGCCAGAGCAGCTTCTGAAGCCACCTTGCTAATGGCCACACAGATCTAGCATCCCTGGGAATAGTCAACTATGAGCTGCAGAGAAATTAGCTCTGTCCTCTTCAAAGGACACCGTGCTTGGGACTCCACAACCTTCTTCCCACCTTCAGAAACTTCAACCAGTTCCTGGCTAACTCCAAATCTGAAGTTCTCTCTTGTAGAACTCCCAAAGACTGACATCTCCCTTGGCACAGAACAGTGAGCCTAAGCTCCAGCTACATCTAGACTGCGAATGTCTCAGAAACATTCTGATCAAAGGCAACGTCCCCAGGCAACTATGCAGGATCTCGCTGGGATTTTTAAGGGGACAACACGGGATTGGTATAAAGCTCTGGAAGGGTGGCTAAAATGTCAGTCACAAGACTATGGTAACAGCTCATACAAACACAGGAAAGGCCAGCCCACCTGAGACTCCCTAAAACCGGATCAGAATCCCTATTCTCAATGAGCCCAGAAGGGCAGAAGCACCAAGCACCACCAGGGATGCAAAAGACACATGGTGTCAGCTGCTAAGAAAAAATAAACCCCAAAGGTCCATGGGACTGAATTTACCAGCTGCATCCAGCTAGATACCTTGTTTCCACAGTATGGAGTTTCAGCTTTGTCCTTTGCCAGACTTTAGGGCAAGTTTTTTCATGATTTTTAGACCAAAAATTGTAGATAGCCATTGCCACATGGAAAGTAGTAAAGAAACCTCACAGTTCATCTTTCAGGCCAGGGCTCCTAGGAGGAGCCTGTAAGCCAGCTAGGTGAGGTCATTGCAGTTCTATGTTTTACATCCAGTCAAGGTGAAGTGCTTCTAGGTGGGCTTTGCACTACTGTCACGCTCAGTGCCTAGCCAGTCTCCCTGGGTGGTCCTGGCATGCCCTTAGGTTGGATTTCCTTTCGGCACCCTGTGATTGTGGAGAATCCATGGGACTTGTGGCCATGAAAGCCAGTGGTCAGTCTGGGCTGGGCCACTTGGCAGCTAAGAGAACCTGGACATCTACACTGTGGCTTCATCATCCAGCTGACCGCACTTACACATTAGGTCTCAGGAAGACCAGGTGTCAACCACACTGCTTGAATCAAATGTCAGAGTTTAAACACAGAATGTAAATTAATTTCTGTAGAGGCAAAAGTTCTATGCTCCACTGATGTGGGTATGTAGAATTCACGTGTGGCAAAGGGGAGAGAAAGAACGTGAGCATCTATGTATCTTGGCTCTTCCAGAGTCCTGGCACTGCTTATCTCTGAAAAGAATCCATGTTTATCTGCAAGGCTTACTTAACACACCACTCTGTGGTAAGAAGCCCAGGGCTTTATGAGTGTGACAAAGCATCCCATCTCCCTAGCATCTCTAACACTGGCAATCATGTTCATCAATGTGACCACTCCCAAGCTCCTTCCAAGTGGGTGTTGCCAGATTTGGGCTCAGAAGCCTTCAGAGTTGGCTCACTCAAAGGGCAAGGAGCACTGGCCCTGGTCCTAGAAAGCCAAAGGTACAGACACTTGGCTTTTGCATACCAAGGCCCTGGATCCTCTCAGAATCATAGGAGACAGTATTTTGCCATTGAAAGAAACTCAAAGTGAGAACATTCAGCTAGCTCTTTTGGATAAATGATTGAGGCCAAGGACCTCTGAAAAGCAAGTAACATTACTTTGTACATTAAGTGCTACTTGGCCCCAGCCAAGCTGCTGGACCTCAAGAGATACTGATCCACGTTTCCTTTTCGCCGGCTCATAGTCCGCCTCTCACTGTCAAACATATGCTGTGATTGCAGGGCCAGCTGCTGGTCCTCTTCCTCCTGATGTAATTTCTGGCCCACCTCAAGCAGCCCTTGGTCCTTAGGGGCTAAGCCCATGTCACTGCTGGGTGGTCGAAGTTTCTTAACACCATTTTGCTCCAAGTGCTTGGTCTTACAGCGCCTTTTCCGGCCTCTGCGCAGGGAAGGAATTGGCTCCTCTCCTAGGCTGTTGACCAGAATGCCATTACCCAGATCAAAATGACTGAGTGTCTTTAGTTGTTTCTTTGTTTTGAGGACCTCACCCAAAACATCATTTTTGGGTAGTAATGAATTAACTGCTGTAGTCTTCACAGCTGTGCTTCTGCAAATTTTGACTAATGTGGTATCCACGGTGGACCTTGACTCCTCAAACTGTTCCCCTTCCAAAGAAGGCCCACTGGCTACTCCTCTGTGCTCTGAGGAATGGCAGGTTTCCAGTGGGACCTCATGGCTCCTTTTTCTAACACAGTCCTGTTCTGCTTTTGTCTGGTTAACAGAGGGGAAGTATTCAAGAGCAGTGGAGGTGGGCCCAGCACACTCTGAGAGCACCTGGACCCTGGACAGCCTTGTACTTAAAGCCAGAGACGACTTGCTGGAATAGATCGCTTCAGAACCTGGTAACTCTTCCCCTGCTTCAGGGGCCAGGGAGGTGAGAGTAGCTTTGGAAAGGGTCTTCTTGATCTGCCGCTCCTGGAAGATCTGTTCCCACTTCTTGAGGATGCGAGGACTGGCCTCATACGAAGTCTGCTTCTGCAGGCTTCTGCTCAGGTTTCGAGGCGTTGACTTGATGATGAGAGGGCTGAGCACTCGGCCATCAGGGAGTCTCTTGGGAGGGGTGCACGGTGAGCAGACGATGGGCTTGAAGTGATTCAGCTCTTCAGAGATGCTGTCATTGCTTTCAGGGCTGATAGAGCGCTCAGGCTTATGCAGGGAAGCCAAGGATGAAAGGGAGCCGAAGGGCAGGCGCTTTTCTAGGGTTAAGTCAGGGGCGGAGAGGCAGCGGTTGTTCTGAGTAGACAAGAGAACACCAATAATGGGGGTGGAGCCTGGAGTTATAGTTGTGATCTGAAAGAAATATAAAAGGTCACGTGTGTGTTTGTGTGTGGTTTTCTTTACTTTTTTATTTTCTATCTTTTAAAACTTGTCTATGTCTATGTATGTACATGTATGTGCAGGTGTCCAAAGAGGCCAGAAGAGGGTGTTGGATCCCCTGGAGCTAGAATTATGGGAAACAACAGTCCGATGTGGGTCTAGTTCTCTGCAAGAACAAGTGCTCTTAATTGCTGAACCATCTCCAGCCCTCTCACACATGCAGTTTTTTCCTACATGAGTCTTTCAGATGGTGGGAGGGTAGAGAAGGAAGGTTAAGGAAGGGAAATGTGTATCTAAAAAATAAGAAAAGCTCTTAGCCTAAAACTCCTATGCATATGTGAAAGAGTTAGCAACATCAAAATCTAAAGGAGGATCTTGCCTAGATCTTTAAAAGGTTTCTATAATGGCTTACTATCCCCATCAGTCTACTAATTTGAACCTTCTTCCTTCACATCTTTTGTAGAATTCTCTAGATAGCTAATATAATCTGCCTGGGATCCACTCTGCCTTGTGCAGGGGACGCTGTGTGTGCTGAGGTGGAAGATGGAGAAGGTGGCTGACATGTACCTTGGCTCTGCTGGGTGGAGCTGTCCTGAGCCTGCTCCTCACTCTGTCCTGAACTGTGTCACTGCAGCTCTGGCTCCGCTGCACCTTGGTGTTTAGCTTCCTAAAACAGAAGATATAGTTACAATTAGTCCATGCATGAGTTTAGGAAAAGATGGCAATTTCTTTTACCATGCTAAGCCACTGCTCAAGAAAGACAATTCCCTTAGGTAGCTATAATACAAAATGGGTTAATTTATCAACCAAATGACAAAGAGAAAAAGACTTCCAAAGTCTTGCAGACACATGATTTTTATATTTTTATTTTATTATAACCTTACAATTTTTGTTTCATTTATTTTATGTGTGGGGGTGTTTTGCCTGCACATATGTCTGTGCAGCACATGTAAACCTGGTGCCATGGAGGCCAGAAGAGGGCGCTGGATCTCCTAGGACTGAGCTACAAAGGTCTGTGAGCTGCTATGTGCATGCTAGGAATCAAATCTGTGTCCTCTCAAAGAGCAGCCTATGATCATAACCACTGAGCCAACTCTGGAGCCCTTGTGCTATGACTTGCCAACCACACTCCACAGCAGCTGTACTGAGTGCTGCGGTCGGTTGTTAGTGTGCTAAATGAAGTAACAGAACAGCCCTTATAGAGCTAAATTTCCAAGTGTTTATGTTGTTACATCTGGGTCTTTGAGTCATTCTGAACTAACTTTTGCATGTGGTAAGGCGCTGGAGGTGTAACTCCCTATCAGCGTGCCTGTGCCGGACAGAATCCACTGTAGAACTACATGCACACAGCAGACAGGCACCTACACCACACTACAGCTAACCTTTTATTCTCTTGGGATACACGTTTCACCAAACATTTATCACATACTCAGCACATAGAAGACAGTCAAGCTCTTTAGGCAATCAGAGACCAGTGGGGAAAACAAATAATCCAGTATTACAAAGGCACCATAGAAACAGGTATGGCATAACAGTTAGAAATGGCATTAAATGGGAATTATTAATAACTGAGAATGAGGAAACTTGAAAACCCTTTCTATAACATATTCATTTCGCTGGATGAATAAATACTTGCAATAAATCAAAACAGACACATAACTATATAAATGACTCCAAACAGAAATTCTTTCTTCAATTGATACTGTTTAGCTCTTTAACAGAAGGCATCATATAAACTCTTCTGTAGACAAGATTTTTAATGTCAGAGAAAACAAGGAGGTGGGCAGGTGGGCAGGGACCTGTCCCCCCGCCTCCCTGAATTCTCTGCATCTTACATCTCCAGAGAAAGCCTATCACTCAGAACTCTTCTATTCCAGCACATGCATGGTTTCTCCCATCCTATGACTCATGGCCGCACGGTTAGTGGGAGAAAATGATGACTGTGTAACACACATTTGCATTTTAAAGGAAAATTCAGCACTTAAGGAAAGTCTCTCACAATTTTGGAGCAAGCAACTCTCACTCTAAGAAGATAGTTCCTTAGAAGCAAGCTGGATTGATACTTAGAAAAATATTAAAGTTCATTTGCATTGTTAGAAGCCATGTAAAAATGACCAGTCACGTAAGCCACCCCGCAATGCTTTGTAAATAGTGAGCACGTTGAGCAGGGATTTAGAGCTGATAGGTGGCATTATTATTTCAAATACACAACCTTGGGTGAGGCCAACAGACAGTGAGATGAAAAGACTGATTGACCAGTGCAAGAAAGAAAAGCTTTGCTGCGTCCAGCAGATCAGCTCTCTGGAACACTGGGTTTGATGCCATTGGAAGCGGTCGAGCTGAAGTCACACCTAAACCCCGAGCTCCAGATTCTGTACTGAGGAATTAACAATACAGTCTTCATACCAAGCTATGAATCCATCTTGTCAGGGGTAATGGCCAAGCTGGCAGCTGACTAGTCTAGTTTCAGGTCCAACTTACAGATGCACAAATGACAATTGTGGGTAGCTGGGAAAATTACTTCACATCTGTCCCTTCAATTTCACATTGGTGAAAGAAAAAGCCTAGGGGGCAAACTCACATTTGTGTTCAAGCATACAATGAAGACACCTACAGAAGTTCCTGACAGTGAAAATATTTTCAATAAACTTCAGTATCATTGAAATTTTCTTTGACATTTAGTGAGGAGAGCGCCTTTCAAGCAGCAATTCTGTGCAAAGCACTAGACACCAGCTGGCGAGATAACTCAAAGGCACAGCTAGTTCCTGAAGGCCACCACATTAGAGACTGTCCTGAGGGGGCAGGCACTGTACAGCTAACCGCAGAGTCTGTCTAAGAGCTGCATCTCTCACGCTCTTGCACGGTGATTCCCAGCTGGGCCAGCACGGGTAAAGAGGCAAGTTTTCTTCCCAGTGAATGTTCTTGCCATCCTTGTTGGGAATCAACTGATCACAAATGTATTTCTGGACTCTCAATTCTAAATCCATTGCTATCTGTCTCCTACCCCGGCATCACAGTATTTTGATTGCTACCATCAACCTATGTCCTTTCTCTGGGCAGCTTTAGCTATGTGGGATCTCCTGAAATCTTTAGCATCAGTCTATGCCTGCAAGGGAATCCACTAGAACTTTAACATGTGTCATTACTGACCTTTTAAAATCTATGCAGGGATCACTGACATTGTAACAACATTAAGTCTATCAATTCATATGTAAGATGTCATTCTGTCTACTTAGATTCTTCTAACATCAAACTTTGGAATTTTCAGTATTAAAATTTTATGCTGCTGTGGTCAACTTTATTTCTAATTATTCTATTTTTTGATCCTAGTAATAGATCAAAGTGGGATTTTTTTCATTGCACTTTTAAATTGTTCACTGCTAATATATAGAAATGCAACTGATTTTGGTATAGAAAATGATTAAAGAGAAAACTGACTCCTTCAAGTTGCCCTCTGACCTCTGTTGGGAGCTGACTCCGAGCAGAAAGCGGCTGTCATCTTTACAGCCATCTCGAGTCATATACCCTGACAAGAGACTTGTTTTCAACAGCCTGCAACAGCTGAGCACACTCTGATAAACATCTTGTTTTTCTCACATATCTTGTTTTGCTGTTTAGTGCTGCCAGCAGCAAGTCGCACGTGGTCTCCACACTGCTAGCTAGGCGCATGTGATAGCCATGCTGCAAGGCACATGATGTAGTGCCTTCAGCTGTGCTTGTCCACGAGGGCAAGGCACGTGGTAAAGGTTTTACATACCCAGGATTTCCTTTCAATAAAGGAGACTTGATCAGACCCTCTGTCTTGTCTCCATTCTTCGCGTCTCTTGCCCCTCGATCCCCTCTCTCTCTCTTGCTAGACCCTGACCCATAGACTGGAGCAGCAGAACAGGCTGTTACAGAGCTCCATAGGAACACGCACACGCACACACACACACACACGGTGTAAAAGATAAATAAATGAAACTCTTAATGAAGACTAGAGATGACATTAATAAGTATAAGAGTATACATTAACAATTATTTTTTTAAATTATGTCATGTTGGTAAGCCATGGTAATGAATCTGAACTCTGCTCAAAGCCCAACCCCCTGACAGCCCAGAAAACAAGGAAAATACAGCCCAATGTGGAGCTCTGAGCAAGAGAAAAGATACACATCAACCAGACCGGTTCCCCACGAGAGCTTCTAGAGTCACAGCTTCAGTTTGAATTCAGTGGAGAAAAAGGGATGAGGAGTAATGTAAAACAATGGTTTAGAACTAACTAATTTCTTAAACTTTTCATGTATTAATTTTTATTGTAATTTTGTTAAATACCTTGAAGTTCAAATTAATTTTTCTAATATATATCTAGAAATGATCTGTGATTAACTTATTATTCTAGTTATCTGAAAGAATCACAATCTCATCAGATGACCACGGAATCCTCTTACTTTGTTGCTTTTATGAAAGTTATGTTATCTGTTGACAATATCTGGGCAGAATCTACCCATGAGCTTCATCAATGGCCGCCCTCCACCGGCACCCTTGCCTGCTTGCATGCTTCTGGGCTTAAGAAACACACGCTTATACAGCGGACAAAAAGGACAAGTGGCAGCTTCATTTGATGAAAATATAATTATAAAAAAGTCTAAAATTGTTACCTAGGAACTCTCTTTAGGAAATAAATTTTCAGAGAAAGCCTGTTCATTTTTTTGTTACTTAATAGAAAAAAATACATTTGAAATCTCCCCAAACTATAAACAATGCTAGTATCTTTATGTAGCAAAATATAAACAACAAAAATTTTATCATTTTAACTATGTTTAAATGTAGTTAGATGGTTGTACAACTATCATCAAGTTAATTTTTTCATTGTCCATAACTACACATCATTGTCGCCATTATAGTCTTTAAATTTTTTCCTAAAATCTGAAAACAGTTTGAAGTGAACATAACAGTTTCCAAGCTATGGAGAAGGAGACTCGGTCAGCATTTCTGTAATCAAGTTTTCTACCGAAGGTTCCCACTGTGTTGAAGATCATTTCCTGAAAAGATAACCCTATTAGTTGCATTGGTTTTGGTTTTGGTCATTTGTTTGGGTTTGGATTTGTCTTGGCAGTGCTGGAGAGCAATCCCACCACCTCTTGCTGGCTAGGCAAGTACTCTTCCACTAAGCCACACCCCTAATTGAGGCATCTTTTAAATAAAAATTATGTTTAAGGACATATTTATTCAATGCTGTTATCATTTACATTAATAATTAACAGCACAGAGGGGAAAGAGTCAACTACTTTAAAACCCTTTTTTTAATGTTCTGGAGTAACTTTCCACAGAGCAGCAATTAAAATGGCTGTTACACAGTCATGACAGTCCTTAAGTTTCCTGTCTATACATGAACACTGTCTAAAGCAAGTCCTTTCTAGAGCACCTAGGCCTTGCCACCCAGTGCTGGGCTGAGCACAAACTCCTGTAACCTGGGCCTTCCCCGTCTCCATCTCCCCTTTCTGCTAAGCTGGTGTCTAGCAGTAGCCAATACTTTTTGACCTAGCCTGCGATCCTAGAACTTAGGGGAAGCTGGGGAGGGAGAACTGAGAGAGTGAGGCTGGCCTAGGTGACAGAGCCAAGAAACAAGACTCAAAACAAAAGGAAAACTTCCTACCAGTGCCACAGCTGCTACTACAGTTGGAAGCACAATAGGCACCTGGGTCTCAGGTCAAAGGACTAGCCTCCACCACCACAGGAGACAGGGTATATCCCTCCATGGCTCCAAAACCTGATGACTGATCACCACACTTAGGTGAGCCCCTTCTCTGTATTCCACATTTGGAAATTCAGTTCCCACCTTTTTACCCCTTCTACTCATCCAAAAGCCCTTCATCACCCCACAAATGAAAGAACTCAAACTGAATTCAGCCATCCATCTTACCCTGCCAGGAAAGCTAAGGAGCAGGAGCTGTTCTTGGAAACAAAGGCTGAGCGATGGGTCTGGATCATCTGGCCCCGAGAAGGCTCTTCATTCTCTGAATCCGAGAGACGTGCAGGACACTGGCAAGGAGACAAGGGAGATAAACTGTCTGTTGAGGTTTCCACAGGATCTATCCTAGTATAGTTTCAAAGTCCCATCTCTCTAAGTCACTGTTCTGAGTTCCAGTTTGATTCCATTTTTTTTTCTAAAACTACTAATTGCAAATGTGGCTTTACCTGAAAATATCCAAAATCAAATTAAGCATTATCAAATGGCACTTGATATTTTCTTCCAACTTTGGGAGAGAGACAAAAGACTCAACACAAGGTAAATAATGCCAATCTGCATGCTTTGCTCTCTTGTCATAACTAGTTTGGTACCATGTAAAAGACCGTTCAGATGGCACCTCTCTCAGTGCCACTGCTCTGTCCACTTCCTCTGTACAGACTGTGCTACTGTAAAGATCCTGCAAGCTGAGAAGCACTAAATACGCTAACAGATAGTATTAAGAGGAAGCTTAATTTTATACCATTCACCTTTTAACTGATGAAAACTAAGCTACATTATTACAAATCAATATCTACAAAGACAAAACTACCTTCCTCTCCATGCTTCCAGGCCTAACACCTAGAAACATGAGGTGAGAAATACTCACCTCGCACCTTTCACCTTGGATGTAAATAAACCTAAGGCACTATGTGTCCTCAGAATGGTACAGAGCATGGATAAAGAAAATGCTTACAGTGACACTTGACAAAAAGACCATCCCTGCCAGGGATGCTAGGCTGCTGGAGGGTGGGCTTTCATACGAAGCAAGAAGGGACTCATCTACATCAGACCTTCTCCAAGACAACTGGACAATAAACACTAAAACATCCTCAAAGCACACTTCCTTTCACCCGCCTTCTACTTGTAGTAATTTATCACAGCAGCATTTAAGACATCTACAGGAGATTAAAATATTCAAAGAAATTACACTGGGAAGAAATTAAAACAGATAAACATTTTTTATTTACAAGTAAAGACACAATTTATAATTAACTCAAAAAGGAAGCATTATAAAGCAATACGTAAGGCAAGCACTTCTGGATGAGAAGAACATGCAGCACATGCACACATGTGTGCAGGCATCTGTGTGTGTGTGTGTGTACACTGTACTTATAAAATAGATCTGATTAGGATAATCACCAAAATGTCTGTAGGGGTTGTATCTAGGTCATAGGATAATTAAACTTTCACCTCTGGTTTATAATCCTTAATATAACTAGTGGCTATGAAATTCTGATTTTCAATAATTCATTTCATACCATTATTGGAGTAATGGTACCATAATAAAACAACAAATTAAACATTTTGTCCATTTTATTTCTATTATGAAAAATAACATATCATAATCACTCTAGAATTCTAAGTTTAGTAATTTCATGAGCATGCATCAAAAAGTTGTGATGGGCAAGACATTGTGGGAGGTTTTTAATTGGGTCAGACACATGTCAACAAACAATCTCATAGAGAAACAAACATAAAAATCTATAATATGAATATACAGTCCCGTAAAAGTCACACACTATTAAGGGTGGACTGAGGAGAGGAGGATGGGTGAAGTCTCTGCCAGTTTGGAAGTGACAACTTGTAAACTGGCCATGGAGACAAACAGCAACCTTCCCACCAGCAAGCTGCTGAAATGTGCCTGCCATGGAAAAGCAGAGTGTGTGTGTGCTGGCAGCAAACGTTTCTCCTCCAAGAGCCACGGAGCATCCTTAAGGATGGGAAGACTAGCTAGAATCATGCTTAAGGAAGGCCCTGGGTGCTGGGCAAAGAGTTCTCATTTAGTTCTCAAAGAAATGTAGAGCCACTGAGGTTTGGTGGCAGGAAAGTGTAATGACAGTCTCATAATGACAACCGTAATACAATGGTTGGCTGTCCCCTGACTCCATTTCAGGTTCTCTTGGGTTCCAATTTTAATATAATGAAATCATTTGCTCAAGACCAAACACGTGCTTTTCCCTAGCACTGGGGCTTTGTACACGCTAGTCAATGGCTCTTCTCCCCCACTGCCCAGCCCTTTTTATTTCACGGTCCCAATGAATTGCCCAAACTAGCCTTGAACTCACCCTGAGGCCCAATCAGACCACGAAGTTGCAGTCTTCTGACTTCAGTCTCTTCTAGTTGAGAGCACAAGTCTTTATCAGTCTAAAAGCTATTTTTTTTTTCTTTTTAAGACAGAGTTTCTCTGTGTAGCCCTGGCTGTCCTCACTCTGTAGAACAGGTGGTCCTCCAACTCACAGAGATCTACCTGCCTCTGCCTCCCCAGTGTTGGGATTAAAGGTGTATGCCACCACTGCCCAGCCTGTCTAAAAATTATTCAAGTCATTTAAAAGTCCTCAAAAATGTAAAAGGAAATAGGGAGGTAGAAAAGGGAAAGATCACAAAAATCCAAAACAGTTTAGAATTTACCCACTATGCTTTACATCGACAATGTTATGAACCTGGCTACTGCCATTAAGGAAATCTGAGAATCTGTATTTTTCTGGTTCCTTTAAAGAAATAAATTGCACTGATGCAACTACTTTCTATTTCAAAGATAATAGTACCAGAAGCAAAATAATTACAATTACTCCTAGTCTGACACGGAACACAGTTCCTAGAGGGAATAACTTCTCCCATGGATCAACACACAGAGGCTTTTGGACAGTTTGCCTGAGCACATTACAACTGGGAAGAGGCAAAGCTCTTTCAGAGACTACAGCCCAGAGCTGGGGTTGTGGTCAAGCCATCCCATGTCCTGTTGCTGCCTAAGCTACTACGGATCCTTCCTAGCAGCAGGTTTTTGCCTTTAAAGGTTCCTGGGGTGCATAGCATGGAGAGCACACAGCATTTTGTGCTTGGTAAATGGAATCTTTTACAGGACTGAAAAATTATCGATTCCAAGTGATTTTGTTTTATTTTTATTGTCTGGAGGAAGAGCCTCACTATATTCATAGCCCAAGCAGGCCTAGAACTCACTACAGAGTCTAGGTTAGCTTAACTGCAACCCTTTTGCCTCACCCTCCAAGTGCTGATATTACAGATGTGTACCACCATGCTGTTCCCAAATGGCTACTTTTAATAATAATTAATGATGATTAATACCTATAAGCAGAATCATATGTCACCTGCATATGGCAGTCAACAAATATACTGACCCAAGACACCTTTAAAATGTTCTGTTTTTGAGTCACAGGAAACATGTCTTTTATATAAACTCAGCCAAAAGGACGGACAGGAAGAAACCTGGCCAAAGTGCAGTCAGCTGCACTGCTGGTTCTACAGGGTTGCTGGGTTTTTTTGTTTTGTTTTAACCTATTCTTTCTTTTTCTATCTATCTGTGTATAAATATATATGTACATGTTTGTAACATGTAGATATTCAAAATATATAAACATAAATATATGTTTATATGTTGTAAACACATAAAATGTTATTTATTTTTATTATATGAATATTTGGCCTGCATGTTCCCCACATGTTTGCCTGGTCCCCAAGAAGTCAGAAAATGGCATCAAATCTTCGGAACTGGAGGCTGTAAGCCCCCCTGTGGGTGGTGGGAATCAAACCCAGTCCTCTGCAAAGGAGCCATGTCTCCAGCCCCTCCTCCTACTCTCTTATGTTGCCTACCTTCATTTACATTAAGGCTTCATTAATTTTAGCCCATTAAAAAAATAACTTAAAATGTTAACAAACCTACATAAAGTACTGAAAATACATGACTCAAAATATATACAGCATTAGATGTCCAAATTGTTGTGATTAGAATTGATATTAAGCAGTTATTTTCCATATAAATACAATTATATTTTCAAAAAGTCCTTTCTTGGTCCAGTGAGATGAGCTGGTGAGTGAAGGTGTCTGACCACCTGAGTTCAATGCCCTGAATCCACACGATGGGAAGAGGAAACCAACTCTCATAGTTTGGCTTTTGACTGCCACATGTGTGTCAGTGTATGCATGTGCTTGTACACATCCAAAGAAGTAATAAAATACAAGTAATGAAAAATGTTCAGGCAAGATGTGGCCCAATCATATGCCCAGCTAGTTACGTTTAGACTCTTCCTCTAATATCGGGCACATACTTATATCAAGCATTGTTCTGCTGAAGGGATCACAGAGGACAAAGGAAAGTGAAGTACATGCTTTTAAAAATCTAATTGAGGACATTAAGATATATACAGCTTAATGTCAAAACCAGCACATATGTCAACCTGATGGTATACATACAAATCTCGTCACATACAACACAGTATCCCAGCCTGTCCATACTTTCTTCAAGTCCCTTAATCTTTCCACAGGTTCCACCATCACATTCACAATTACTTCCTCCATCTCTACATGGATGGATAGCGCTGCACTGCTCCTAGGCTGCACAGTCAACGAGTATTCCTGACGAATGGTCTGCCAAGGCAGGGCTCTCTGAGGCAGACCCGCCCAGACGTGACCCACTGACCTGCTCTCAGACAGTGGCCACACAGATGTGACCCACTGACCTGCTCTCAGACAGTGGCCACACAGATGTGACCCACTGACCTGCTCTCAGACAATGGCCAC